GTGGTTAAATTCACGGGGGACTCGGGGTGTGTGCCCGCACGCCGGCCCGATAGTTCGTGTGGTTTGGCCACCCGACGAACACTACAGAAATTGACGGATTGTGTTTAATTGATGTTTTGAAATGAGAACTGTGAAACGTCTTGATTTCTATGAATTCAGTTTAATTGATTTTTGAGTCTTCTGCTTCATTATCGATGTTACGTATTATTATTTCAAGTTTATATTACAATCTGTTCACTGAGCCCCGTGCTCAGAAGTGTTCTTCTTTTCTGACACGTCAGGTTCCAAGTGATTCTGATAAGGGACGGGACTTGAGATCGAGCGTTTGACTTTTTGGAGTTGGTAAACTCGTTGGTAGATGTATAATATTCTAAGCTTATAAATAGTTGTTAGAATGTAATATTTTGGATTGTAAAACATGTTTTAGAAGTTAATATACGTTCGAAGTTTATTAGTAGCTCTGAAATGTTTGTGTCTTTGAACTAAGTCCCGTTAGTGACACCGCCCGTTCCGGACCACGGGGACGGGGGATGTTACAGATATTATTATAACTCTTATTATTATTACTAAATTGGATTTAATAACTTTGAGTCATCATTTCTTTGTGACCTGATGAATTAAAAATATCATTCCTATTTAGATGTTATTGAGAAGGGGAAAATGGTTTGTCATATCAGGCAAGTTTTAACTTAAATCTTTCCTGTTAAAGGAATGGTCTTTTAATTCAAAAGTTTTGATACTAGGAATGTTGGATCTCTATTCAGAGATATTTTATTGAGGTTCTTGGGTATATTCTATTTTGCATAATATTGTGAGCTGCATCAATTGTTTGCAGTATATTTCTAAGCAAAAATTACATTATCATATTTTGGTRTTCATCACCCTGTATTTGCAAAGAAGGGATTTTCTCACTAGACCCGTATGGTCTAACCCTCATTTTCTGTTTTAAATTATGCAATGCAGGAATAGATGGGTCCGGGGATATAAAAGGGAAAGGGAAAATGTGATTATTTTCCTAACCTATTGTCTGTTTTTGAAGATACATGTTATATTACATGTAGTAGTACAGGATTTGTTTTGGAAATTTTATATGTAAATTTTGTAYATATARTAATCCTTGTACTAGTGGGACCTTTTGATGTAATCCATGTTTCTATGTAATGAAATATGTGTTCTATGCAAATGTGGTGTTTGGGGGTGTTACACTGATTCTTTCTGTCCCATGTACATACCAAATATAGCCTACCTGACATGCATGTGTCATCTTCTCTTTATATAAAATAGGAGTTGGTCTACAATGTATCAAATCAAGAAATATTTATYARAGAACCAAAAATGAATCAGTAAAATATCTCTWTATTATTCTTTGKTTACTTTCTTATTTTGWKAATTTCTTATTTTAGCTTCGTATCATAGAATGTCGACGTGTTCCCAAGATGCTTCTAATGCTACCATCCTCTTTGTTTGCTTTACTGTTCCCTTGGCATACTAATGGATRGAGTAGGTTAAAATAGTGTCTATATCAAATTCAAAGGTCRAAAGGAAGAGTAYTAKRATACATGGACCAACTAACCAAAAGAAGACATGCATCAAAGTTGGGCAAATAACATTAAATTCAATGATGGCTAAAAAAGGTCACCCTGGACATTAAATCCAACTCACCTGTTTTGAAAGAACATCCTTGAGAGTGTTTCTAAAGTAAATTCGACGTCATCTTTTGAAGMACTTCTTTTAGTTTTTCGRATCTGAAAGAGAAYCTYCTTCCTCYCTCTCTTTCAGTTTAGCAAATTTATCAYGGTYAGATAGTTTAGGATCACATGTACCTTCCTAGCTTTCRCAASATATCTRTAATTCTTKGTTTTATACAACATATAGAGCAAAAAATTAAAAAGAGAAAATAAACAYTTCWTGTGTAAGTCATCACCTCCCAGGACCAACATATTTAATTACACTTTTAGGAAATYCCAAGTTCTTCTTGCTCTTAGATCTCAAGATCTTGAGGGATACATCMCAGATGCTAAAACTTGTCCTTCTTAGTATATCATATCGACGTTTATTGAACCTCCTCAAGTTAACACACAGACGCATCGACCTTCATTGAAAAGCTCAAAGTATTTTTAGATGCTTCTTAATTCCATTTCTGAACATGTTTGGACATGTAGTGAACTATCATTCCGCTTTAAATGCCTTAGAAGGACCTTAAAGCTTCTTCTTACCACAAGCTCCAAAGCTCATATACTTTACTTGCATTTTCAATTTCAAATTGTTAAAAGGGTGATGTGTTGATCCATGATACCCTATAGTCTGCGCCGTATAAACGAGCCATTGTGGAGAAACGTTTCACTCCATACTTAAGCCCGAAGGCAACTAGACCAAAGGGTGAAYGAGTCAAGAGAGCTAAACAGAGAGAAATAGGTGACTTTATTTATCCTCCGCGGACCCATAATCGTTTTGCAAACTCAAGAGCGCCAATTCGAGAGATAAAGACTTCATTGGTTATATTTGAACACCGAGGTCGTCYAACAACTCGCGATATTTGGCAGCAACTAGCGAGTCCAAGATGACTATATCATCACCTAAGATTGCAGAATGAATAAGAAAATAAGGAAATTGGGTCRGGTTTGGTCATTCATTCTTGCTTTTTTGGGATTGAAGGAGAAATTACAAGYAAGTCGTGTTTGGAGCGAACGAATTACCTCCTTTGAAAAAGAATTTMTTTGGTTATGGCCGATACCTATTGTTGTCAATGAGAAGATCTACCCGGAAAGGGAAAACAAGATCGGATAGTTGGGCAGGCGCTCCCCTTTGGGTGTGGCTGTGTATGGATAGGCTAAGGMACCTTAGTGTGCAAGGGGCTAAGTCGTTCATTCAAGGACCGGAGCTTTCATCTGAATTCCCCTATGTTCGAGACCATTATTTCTTAGAGTCGTTGAAGGAAAAAAGCTGGATAGGGGTAAATGGTCCAAGGGTCCTTGTCCAAAGGCGGCTAAGCCCTTTCCAGCAACGTGGAAGAGGAGAGCTTTATGTTCTTAAAACAAAAGGTATTGCTGAAAATGTTTAGGTCGCTAGTCAACTTATTCAAGACGACGATCTTGTTCATTACATTTTTGGGAGGATTGGACCACGAATATTGCTTGGTTGTTGTCAACATTACGTCTCCACATGATCAAGTCACCCTCTAGGAAGTGCAATACGTGCTTCAAAGTCAAGAAATGAGATTTGAGCAATTAAACCAAATTATTTCTTCAGCATTCCCAATGCAAATTTTGCCACTTACTTTAAGAGGTGTTTCAACATTTATGGAGTTTCCAACAACAAACATTATGGGTGTGCCTGGACAATGGACTAAGACTGCTCCATCCATTTATGCCATTTGTCACTGAAGAATTGTGGCAGCGACTTCCTGCACCACAACACTATCCAAGGGAAAAGTGTATCATGATATGCAAATACCCGTCACTTGTGGAGGTTAGATACCGAACCCTAATTTTTTATTTGGGAAATTTATTTAACCATATAGGATGGGACCCAAGGGTGTAGGTTTTAAATATTTATCTGCTTCCGATGATTATGACTGCTAGTATTATTCAACAACTCAGATCAAATGATGGAAAAATGTCTCTGATACTACTGTTTATTGCCACTTACAGTGCTGGACAAATGAAAGGGTAGAATATGAGATGGGTATGGTTGAGTCTACAGTCTCAGATCAATCAAAGCGAACCTACCTGCAAAAGAAAGAAATGAAAGGTAATTGGCAAAACAATGTGTTCCCCCTCCCAGCACTCAGTATTTTGGCTATCTTACCTCTCCTTTCCCCCTCATATTCGTGAGAATGGCTACCATGACTGTCTGCCTTTAGAATTTGAGTAAATGTCATGACTGCTATATGTTTAAAAGTTTCAAGCTATGTATTTCAATTTTCGACTATATTACAATTTTTTCAAAATTTACCCATGTTACCGGTCCATCTTGTAATTCCTAAAGTTTTCAACTTTTTGCTCATCGGGGTTGTGGCTAGGACTATGAGGTTATTTCAGTAATAGTACAGTATTGATCATAAAAGTATGATTCTGTTTTCAGGCGAGCAAGTTTTGCAGTTTCTCGAACTGATCAGATTGTGGACCTTCTCAGACGCCATGAGATGGAAGTCTCCACCTTAGCCAACCTATCATCATTTACAGTATGTATTTTGTCTCATAAAAGTATGTTGGACTTCGTTTTAGAAACATCAGTGGAAGAAGTTTATTCATTACTTTTTTTCTTACTTTCTAAGGTAAATAATGCTCTCTCATTTATGTTATAAAAGGTAGCTGCTATTGCTGATCCTCTGATCATTTTTACGCGAGAAAGGGGGACCACCCTCTAAGCCTAAGTATTCCTCAATGACCGGTAGCGTACAACACCTGTTCCACTTTTGGAAGACCTTGCGTTATATCATCAGATCTTGATAGCCCACTTTTCTGTAGGTTATATTTTGATGGAATGATTTTGAGGGATTTAGATTTCGTGAAAGGATTTGGAATTGGAAGGATTTGAAATCATTAGTGTGTTTGGTTTGTAAGACTTGGAATGAAATTTAATTCCATTTTTTATAAATAATTTCTAAAACAAATTATAAACGATTATAAAAATATAAATTACCTTTTTATTAATTGATTATTAACAAATGCTTTCAACATATTTTAATACATTATTACACACAAATCCTACAAAATCCATAAAATACCAGCCACCTCCATGGGATTTCAATAAAATCCCGGGATTTTAAATTCTAGCAATCCTTCAAATCAAACATGGGATTAGAATGAAATTGAACTCGAAATTCTATCCAATCCTACAAACCAAATGGGAATTAAATTCAGTATTGATGGTATTATGGTGGGTTGTGGTTGTTAACATACGTTAAGTTCTCAACTAAATGACACCATTGCTACTAAGTACCAACTGTATTTCTAGGAGACGGCTTGGTTATCAAAGGAAGTAAGTTTAGTTGGGTAACTGGAGTTCCCTACCATCTGAAATCAGTGGTGAAAGTTGATATCTATCTATGTGTTATGGTACATTTATAACATTTGCAGGTATGGGGTAAATGGATGCAGATACAAACCTCTTGTATTTGTTATTTATGGATAACAGAGAGAAAACAAGGATGGACTGGGGAGGGAAATAGTCGTGTCTTCTTGTTTGTTGGAATGATACTGATCAAGGGTGAGTAAGAGAGGATCTTTTGTTCAGAGAGAACATATGTAGGGAGAGGTTTTTTCTACTTTACCAGACCGTAAGAAAAACATGAAAATTTGGGAAAACCAACCTCAGTAAAAATTAAAATCGGGTTCATCCCTGATTTTTCATTTCTTGCAAAATGTCAGGTTTTCATGACTTTAAACAAGACAATGAGTGCTAAGGGGTATGAAGAGAATTTAAACAAGACAATGAGTGCTAAGGGGTATGAAGAGAAGGTTCCAGCCCATGTAAAAGAAGAAAATGTGTCGAAATTGGCGACACTCATGCAACAACTTTTGTCCATCGAGGAAGCTGCTCAACACTTCGAACGTGAAGCCGCAGCAAAAGCTTCAGCTTTACAAGACTAAATCAATTTTTCGACATACACCTTTTTCTTTCGCTTATTTAGATTTGAAAATTGCAATTGGGTTTGTATATATATATATATATATATATATATATATATATGCCTTTTCTAATGTTCATAACAATCCAATATCAAGGTTGTAAAGGGTACGAGTTTGTGTGTGTATTTAACTAACATTACTGTAAAATTTAGATTCTGATTCACTGAACGGAGAACCGTTAAGAAGAAGTGCAGCAACTTAGAATCTACAGCAAAAAAGGCCCTGCCTCCATCCTCTATAGTTTCGTAATCGTCTCCTCTCGGTTTTTCCCATTCTTACAGGGCTGCTATTCCCTCCTGTCTGCAGTCTGCAGAATTATGAAACATTATCATGTAGATTGAGGTTATTTAGGAGAATAAATTTGTCAATATATTTTCTTTCTTAAATGCATCACTTCAATGAAAAATCAGAACCAGGTACAGTATGAAGCCATGGTTGCAGAAAAGAAAAGCAATTCACATGATCCTGGACCAGAAATGGACTTGGTACAAGTCAGCGATGAAAAGAAGAATTTTCATATCACTTTTTCTGGGAATCTACCATCAGTTCATGAACGAGCTATTTACACTTTGCCACATTATGGAATACGACAAATGCGTCAATTCTTACAATTTTCTTTTAAATCCATGACCTCTTGATATGCTTTTGAATGCCACTTATATACAAGTGTACCATTTAAACTTGTCTGAAGGTTATATACCTAAATGACAATGCATATTTACCAAGAGATGAGAAAAGACTTGTTCTTACGTGGGGAAGGCGAAGGATCTGGTACTAGTCGTGCTGCTATCGGATCGAATAGAGATGTTACTGGAAAATGTTATAGGCCTGGAGTAAGTGATAATTTCTGAAATAACACCTGCCATGGAGAAACTTGCCTCTCCTTCACCATAATGCATCTGATTTGCCACATCCTGATGCTTAACTGCAATTTGTGTCTCTTCATGAATGGATTCAGGATCCATCTCGTTTTTGTTTGATATATCTGTCGTTTTGCCATTTTGACCTACCTCTGCAGCTTCAGATCGTGCAATAGCTCCTTTGGGGAACTGTTTTAAAAAACCCAGTAATTCAAAAGATTATACATTAAAAAAGGTGTTTTACAAAAGTCAAAAACATCGTATAAACTTATTACAAACACTTTTACTTAGCATGCACACTTGTTTAGTGTTATAAGCATTCTAGTAGAACACTTCTCCTACCTTCAGGCTTGGTAAAGGATGAACAATTAAGAAATACACACCTGAATAGGCTGTTGATCGACATCATCTGCACAATTGTTAGAGAACTCGGTATCAAGATTGGCTTCAATCATGCCATCATCTTCATTCACAGCCACCGAATTGCACAAAAACTCGCAGTTATTCTCGTCAATCAAAATAGTTTCGCCATCACACATTCCCTCATCAATGCAAATGCTTTTAACATGAAAATCACTCTCTTTATAGCACACCATCAACTCTGGCAGCTCGCATTCTACTGACTTTCTATCAATGTAAAATCCGGTGGTATTCCCAAACAAGTGTGTAGGAACGTTACACGCTGCTGCTAAAGACTTTCTGAACTTCTCATCTTCGTGATTATTGGTAAAGTCGTTACCAAAAATCGAACATTCTAGTTCTGGATTGTTCCAGATGTCGCCCTTAAGGTTTTCTTCGTTGGATAAAAAAGGATTTGTGCATCTGGAGCTCTTATTCATGTTTGCCTCCTGTTCGTCTGAGTCGTAAGCACTGTTGGATTCAAATCAACCTGATTTAGAACCATGCATACAGACTACAGCCAAATGATCCATACAGTACATGTATCTTATATGGGTACAAGAAGAACTTCAATGCTTGTGTTATTTGCAAAGAGAACAAAAGAATCAAATATGAATGATACCATAAGTGTAATATGCAAAAAATCACTTAATGCCACTACAACAAAATGCAGACTGTTTTATATGATTTATAGGACAAAACAATTTTGTTTTGGTGTGCCCATGGAAGGAAATCCAAAGGGTTTGAACAGGCATAAAACTTGAATATGCAATGTCTGAATGCAAAAAAAATTGAAAAGAAACAACTTTACCAGAAAACATCATCAGCACCTGCTGGAAGGGTTTTGAGAATTCGCAAGAGCTGTGAGGCAGACATTCGCTGCATAGGAATCCAAGATGGCAGCTACAGAGACAAAATATATAGATATTAAAATGAGTAGCAAACATCTTGGTAGAATCAAATTATCAACGTACAATTACTGATGCAATACAAACTTTCGTCTGCAAAGAGATACCAATGACAAATGTTAATAAGCTTTCTCTGTCATGCATCATGATCAAGAACAAATGAAAGTCAAACAAAGTGAGGTTCCATGACTCCATCTCTACTCCGGACCAAAAGGGATGTAAAAGAAAAGTGAAGACCAACCAAACCAAAACAACCCATATATCCCACTCGGAAGTCGGAAATACAGTCCAAGAGGGGGTAAGATGCATGAAGACTTTACCTCAACCACTAGGATGATCAAGAGTTTATTCCTATGAAGACCCTTCGACTTTTTTTTAACCTAAACCGGCTATGCAAACCGAGTAAACCCAGGGCGACCACCTACTTGTGCATGAGGCAAATGTGTGTTCAAGCAGTAAACCACGATTCGTCTTGACGTTTGCTTTGTGTGTATACTGAATATATACGTGAGTGTACGTGTCTGCAGAATGAGCAAAAGAGGGTGAAAAGGTCAACTCTAAAACCATCTATTTCTATTGAAATATATATTTAATGGTATGTTATATTAATTATATACACATACTCAACATATAATATATGAAGAGCTCCACCACTAAGGAAGCTTAACATTAATTATACTATACAAAAGTTGAAATATAAAATAAACAAGGCAAAAATAGAGGTAATCGTGTCCCCTATTCCATAATTTTCGAATCTCGATGAATAAAAGAAACAACGGCTCACCCGAAACGTAGGGGTGTTTAAAAAAACCGTTGGATCGTTCAAACCGACCGAACCAAGTCAAACCGAACCGTTTTTGGCGGTTTGAGCGGTTTGGCGGCTTGGAAAATAGCAAAACCGGGCGGTCCGGTCTGGTTTGCGGCCTGGAACTTTTTGTAGGCGGTTTGGACCAAACCGACCGCCCGAATACATATTTATTTATTTTAGTATTACCAATCTCAACTTTTTTAACTTATGGGCTATGATCCAAATATATCTCTGAGCCCAACATAAAGCCTAACATCTAACATAATCAAATCCAATTGAATCGCCGCCTAAAAACCCCTAAACCACTAAACATATCGACACATTTGACATTGACAGTCTCCAAATTTTGAAATCCTCAAGAACTCTACCAATCTATCGATCTTTCCTAATTCATGGTTTGATTTTGACGCACATCATCAATCAGGCCCGTTCCTGACATTTTTTAGGCCCTGGACGAACATAAAAACAGGGGCCCCACTGCAAGAAACAAGGCTTTTAGCAACGACTTTTGTTGTCGCTAAAAGTCCGTTTATCATTGAAAATAATATATAACAAAAACATGTTGTCGCTATAACTTGTGACACATGTCATCGCTAAAAGGTCCATCGTCAAAGCTCACTTTTCTTGTAGTGACCTTCGGTAAATACAAAAAAAAATTCAATAGATGTTTTTCATTAGTATAAAATTGAGTACAAGAAATGCTAATAATTTACTGAGTAAAGAAATCTTATTTATCTTTATTATAGATATATAAAAGTGTACTTAAATTTACGTGCTTTTTATTAGGTAATTTTAAACCAAGAGTATATAAACTATGGTTGATAAATTTTTATAAAAAATAAGAATTTTTTACTTTATAACAAGAAATATGTGTTATTTTGATACAAAAAGAGAATTCGTGTTAATGAAATAATCGTGAGGTCAATGAGAGATTAATAATAAAGAAGATTATCAAGGTAATATCGACAAGTAGACAAATGAAAATCAATAAGAATATGAAAGAAAAGATGATCCATTGGGATCTAGTAAAAATAAATAATGAATTAAACATGTAATATGCAAGCTCAACAAATGATTGTTTGAGCACTTAAATAGAATCTTGTGGTGTGGTGAAATCCCAATGAAAGATACATAAGTCAAACAATTAATGAAAATATTTAAATTCTATTTTTCTTCTTTTTTTGTTCAACTAAAATAAGATGTTAATATTAAAAGTTTATGAAACATGACATATATAAAAGACATTACTAAATACATCTAGTAGAAAAAATTTATTGATTAATCACAAAACCATGAAACAGGTCATAAATCATAATAACAATAGATTAATTGTCAAAAAAAACGTAAAATATTTTATGTAGAAACAAAAATAAATAACAATAGTCAACAAAAATAATTAGAACAACATAACCAAATAGCAATAGTCAGTAAAAATAGAAATTGAAAAAACTATCTAACAAAAATATATAGCAATAGCAAGCACATGATCTTAACGTTGAATTATTGAAGCACGAAAATAGTCAAGCATATAGAGATAGCAATAACCAACATCATTGGACCTTGTTGGAGATAAAAAAAAATTAGAGGGACAATAAACAATAGCATATAATGAATGACCAATTTATTTTTTTTATTTTCTTCTCCAATGTAATTATTTGATATATTTTTGGGCCCTTATTATCTACAAAATTATTTCTCTCTTATGATATGCTACAATTTTTTGGTTACTTTAATTTATTAAATTCTTTTAGACTACTATATATTTTAAGGGGAAAATTTGGGCCCCTGATATTTTTGGGCCCAGGGCGTGCGCCCGTGCCGCCCTCCCCCAGGGACGGCCCTAATCATCAAGACATGAACCAAGTGATTCAACCAACTAAGATATGTCTTCTATTTTGTTTAGTCAATAATTGAAGGTTGTGAAGTCGTGTATTTTGTTACTCAATACTCATAGTGGAATTGTAACTTTGTTAATTTGTTTGTTTTCTAATATATATTATATATTTATTTGTTTGGACTTTTGATTGTTTGGATTTTGGACTCAAGAACTATTTAATTATTACATTTATTTGTTTGGATATTTTGTTTTGTCAAAATGAATATTTAATCTAAAATTCTAATATGTTCTTAAGTTTAATATTTAAAATCCATAAAATGTCCAAACCGCCTAAATCGGTCAAACCAGACCGCTTTTTTGTGGTATTTCCAAAAATGTATGACAAAAAATGTGACTACGATCAAACCACATAGCACCAATTTTGTATTTTGCTTTAAAGTATATAAGAACCCATATGTTTCACGTTAAGACAATCTCCCCTTTATAATCTATATTGCGCATAGCTGTTTTTTCAAATGTCGGCAGATTAATGTTATTGGATGTATTATTTAGCTTACATGAAAACAAAAGTGGTCAAAATTATTGAGCCAATGAGTGAAAAATGACCTGATTGATCCATACCAATATCATTTAAATTTTGAAGACATATATATATATATATA